TCATCTACGTCACTATTCTTCGGTCGCAATTCTGGACTTCCCAAAACACTGCTTCGACTTGACACAGAGGACGGCTTCTCCGGAGTGGTTAAATGGGTCTTCGCATGCTTAGGTGGCATCGTGGGAAACACTACCATAAATTCCCCATAAAAATCCCGGGAAAAAAACAAAAATCTTGTAAATTTGCCAATATTCCCATCATCTTGGAATAGTAGTAAATGTAATAATATCGCCAGCATAAATTTTAAGAATAATGCTCCAACAGTAAAAAACAAACGACCAAACTCAGTGGTCACCACCATCAACACTCTTGAGCCGGCTTGTTGCGAGAGAGAGAATTTTGAATTTCGTGGCGCAGTGACGCAATCCTCATCCCTCATTCTTCTGTTTGTCAGTGTCGGACGATGTATCCTCTCCAGAGGTTCCCTCCAATTCCTCATCGTCTTCACCAACGTATGCTTGGCTGGTCTCCAATAATACCTAAATACCCACAACTATACCATTTCTCAGTAAATTGTAAAAATTCCCACTTAGGATCCGTTTTTTCCAAAAAAAACTCGAAAATTTTCAAGGAAAAATTAAAGACTTACCAATTACCATTACAAAAAATCCGAAAATTGGTTGTAATTGTCGATATGATTCTCGACACTCACTTAGAATACCTTTTTTTCAGAAAAAAATATGCAATTCGCGATAAAAATTCACCGATTATTATAGAATATAAACCCCCTCACAAAATAATAGAACATACAGTATTTTTTCGATTTCTCTGTTATTACTGCGACTCAGGTTGTGAGATTTCGTGTGTGAGGGTATCACTTATGTAGGAACAAAAATATATTAGAGTCGTATCATTATTCGCTCGCTTTAGTAAAATTTCTGAAACGGTCAATTTTTCCGCGCTTCCAAAAAAATAGAACCCACCAAGGTCATCTTAAATTGGGACTGTAATTCAACATTCCTGTCACTGAGGAGACACGATTCACACAAAAAGAAACTAACAATACCTCGTAGGGCCACCTTGACACTTAATCGCCTCTACACAGCGACTGCGAGTCGACTTAGTGAGAGTGCTGATATCTTCGGGTGTCAGGTCATCCCAGGCCTTAAAAATTGCCTGTCGGAGTTCATCCTTGGTACTATAGGGGCCTCTACCCCCTCCATAGACGGCTAGAGCCATCCTGCCCCAGCAGTGCTCGATGCAGTTCAGATCTGGACTCACTGCTGGCCACTGGACGGTTGTCACGCCATTGCGTGCCAACCATTCTTTAGTTGAAGAAGATACGTGAGGCCTCGCATTGTCTTGTTGGAAGGTGTACTCGATTCCTTCCTCCTCCCCCGCTTCCAGGAATGGTAGCAAGTTCATCTCGAGCATGGACTGGTAGACCTCGCTGTTCATGTTGCTCTGTATTTCCACCA